TTCTTTACTCTGTGATATCCCAGTTGTAGTTTTATTCCAACTCATGGCATATTTCTAAAAATGTATAATTAGGTCACACAAAAACTGGTGAAAGACAACATCTCACCATTTCAAAAAAGTTCTGGAACCTCAAGCAGAATAAAAAAGAAAACAGAGGGAAGGCAGGAGTGGGTGGTTGGGTGGGAAGAGATCACCCAACAAACTTGTATGCATATATGCCTAACCCATGAACACAGACAATAGGGTGGTGAAGACCTGAGGTGGGGATGGGCTAGAAGGAGTCAATGGGACAAAAAGGAGGACATATGTAATACTTCCAATAAAGAAGATTTAAAAAAAAAACAACAACAAATGAACAAAACAAAACAAAGCCTAAGGGAATTAAACATAATAAGATTGCGGAAAACCTAAAAGGTTTTACTAACAGGGGAAAGCCTTAATAGTGTGTACGTGTGGGGGGGTGGGGGGGGGGGGGGGGGGGTTGACATATTATTTTAAGACTTACAAACTTCTCAAAAATATGACAGAAGTCTGAAGATGTGGAATAACATTTTTAAAGTGTTATAAAAAAATCACTCACAATAAAGACTCAAGAAGATCTCAAACTCAATGGTAATAAATGAATGCCAATACCAAGACGGCACAATGTTAGAATCATGAGACAAGGATTTCAAAACAGCCATCATAAAAATGCATGAGTCATTACAAACACATCTGAAATAAATAAATAAATTGAAAGTCTCAACAAAGATACAGAGAATAATAAAGAGATTCAAAGGAACTCTGAAAACTGAAAAATACTGTAACTAAAAATTTTAAAAACCACTCAAATGGTAACAGCAGAAGCGGGAAGACAAGTGGAAATAATCTGTTAACTACAAGATGAAACAGAAATCAGCCAATCTAAACAACAAAGAACAATATACTAAAAATGAAACAAGCAAAAATTTGTACAAATATAGAATAATATCTTATATCTGAGTCATTAGAGACCCAGAAGGAAAACAAAAAGATAGGGCTAAAAAGTTTCTAGTGTTAAAAAAGGAAAATAAACCTCTCAACCCCAAATTTTATATCCAGCAAAAATATGCTTCAAGAATTAAGGAGAAATCAAGACATTCTGAAATGAAGGCCACTAAGAAAATTTATCAACTGTAGACCTACACTAAAACAATGACAAAATGTTGACTAATGAGTTTGGTCTGCAAACTCATTAGTCAACAGAGCCAAATATCAACAGTACAATGATTGAAATTTCTTTTGAGAGCCAAATTTTTTAAACTTAAACTTTTTCTAATGCCACTTCTTCAAAATAGACTCGCCCAGGCCATGGTATTTTGTGGAAGAGCCACACTCAAGGAGCCAAAGAGCCACATGTGGCTCACGAGCCGCAGTTTGCCGATCATGGCTCTAAACAGAAAGGAAATGTAAAAAGTAAAAACTACAAATCAAAGATATAAAGATATTCCACATACATGGACTATAAATTTCAATAGAGTTAAGATACTAATTCTCCCCAACTTGATATGCATTTTTAATGCAACCAATGAAAATTCCAGCAAGATTCTTTAGTAGATACAAACGTTATTCTAAAATTTCTATGGAAAGGCAAAGAAACTAGGAAAGTCAAGACAATTCTAAGATAGAATCAAGTAAGAGGAATCATTCTACTAATTTCAAGACTGATTATATTGCCACATTAATAAAATCCATATGTTATTGGTGGAGGACTGAAAAAATAAAACAGTGGAATACAGAACCCAAGAATAGCCCATAAAATATGACTAATGAATTTATGACAAAAGTAAAAAACAAAGTAAAAAAACTTGGTGCTTTGCCCTCACTGGTTTGGCTCATAGGATAGAGCGTCGGCCTGAAAGGTCCCAGGTTTGATTCCAGTCAAGGGCATGTGTCTTGGTAGCGAGCACATCCCCAATAGGAAGTGTGCAGGGGGCAGCTAATAGATGTTTCTCTCTCATTGATGTTTCTGACTCTCTCTCTCCCTCTCCCTTCTTCTCTGTAAAAAATCAATAAAATATATTTAAATAAACAATAACTTGGTGCTTAAACAATTGGGTATCTACAAATATAATATAAAAATAAACCTTGTCCTAAATCTCACACCTTTTACAAAAATTAACTCAAAACAGATCAGATATTTAAGTGTAAAACAAACTATAAAATCTGTAAAAAAATAATATAGGGAAAAAACCTTCAGGACCTAGAGTTTGGTGAAGAATTCTTAAAACATGACACCAATACATGGGGGAAAAAATCCCATAAATTAGAATTCACCAAAATTAAAACCTGTTGATCTTCAAAAGACTGTTAAAAATAAAAGCAACACAATAGAATATTTGCAAACCCCATTAACTGACAGGCCCATACCAAGAATAAAGAACTCTCAAAATTCAACATTAAAAAAACAAAAGGCCCAAACAGAAAAAGTACCAAAAAAAGAGAAATATTTCACCAAAGAAAAGATAACAAATAAACATATGAAAATATGTGCAACAACCATTAGCCATTAAGTAAATGCAAATTTAAAAGCTTAAAGAGACACACTCCAATGAGAACAGCTAAAATAAAATATTCATGAGAATGTGAAGAAAGTGGATCTTTCATAAACAGCTGATGGGAATAAAAAATGATAGTCACTCTGAAAAACAGTTGGGCTACTTCTTTTTTAAAAAGTAAACATAATCACATTTGACCCATAATCACACTCCTGGGCATTTATCCCACAGAAATGAAAATTTGTATCTGTGTAAAAACTCGTAAGTGGTTGTTTATAGCAGCTTTAGTTGTAATAGTAAAAAACTGGAAATAACCAAATGGCCCTCAGTAGGTGAATAGTTGTACAAAAACTGTGGTATATAAATACCATAAAGTACAACTCAGGAAGTAATGCAGGTCACAAAGGCATTAAAGGGTTAAAATTATTTAAATGGACCTACATTTGATTGCACATTGTACTTTTTCAAAGATTAAATTGATTCCATAGTTAATTGTATGTAAAGGTAAGTACTTATAAGCTTAATTTCAATAGATACATCTCTTCAGGCTACTTCATATAGTAAGATTTCATTTTTAATATACAAAACATTTGCAATACCAACCAAGCTATTATGCTCAATTAACATTTGACAAAGTAGGCAAGAGCATACAACAGAGTCAAGACAGTCTCTTCAATAAATGGTATTGGGAAAATTGGACAGATGCGTGCAAAAAAATGAAACTAGATCACCAATTTACACCATACACAAAAATAAACTCAAAATGGATAAACGACTTAAACATAAGATGGGAAACGATAAAAACCTTGGAAGAATCCATAGGCAGCAAAATATAGACATATTGTGTAACAATATCTTTACTGACACATCTCTTAGGACAATGGAAACTAAGGAGAAAATGAACAAATGGAACTACATCAAAATAAAAAGCTTCTGCAACCGCAAAAGAAACCATTAACAAGAGCGTCCACTGCATGGAAGAATATATTTGCCAATGTTACATCCAATAAGGCTTTAATCTCCAAAAGTTATAGGGAACTCATACAACTTAAAAGATAAACAATCCAATCAAAATTGGGCAAAGGACCTAAATAGACACTTTCTGAAAGCAGACATACAGAAGGCCAAGAGACATATGAAAAAATGGTCAGTCACTAATCATCCAAGAGATGCAAACCAAAACAATGAAGTACCACCTCATACCTGCCAGAATGTTTATCATCAACAAATCAACAAATGACAAGTGTTGGCGAAGATGTGGAGAAAAAAAACAAACCCTGGTGCACTGCTGGTGGGAATGCAGGCTGGTGCGATCACTGTGGAAAACAGTATAGTTTCCTCAAAAAATTAAAAATGGGCGCTGGCTGGTTTGGCTCAGTGGACAGAATGTCAGCCTGTGGACTGAAGGATCCTGGGTTTGATTCAGATCAAGGGCACATGCCAAGGTTGTGGGTTCAATCGCCAGTATGGGGCAGGTAGGAGGCAGCCGATCAATGATTCTCTCTCATCATTGATGTTTCCATCTTTCTCTCCCTCTCTGAATCAATAAAAATATATTTTAAAAAGTTAAAAATAGAACTCCCATTTAACCCAGTAATCCCACTTCTAGGAATATATCTTAAGAAATCAGAAACACCAATCAGAAAGGATATATGCACCCCTACGTTCAAAGCAGCACTATTCACCATAGCTAAGATTTGGAAACAGCCTAAGTGCCCATCAGCAGATGAATGGATTAAAAAACAGTGGTGCATCTACACAATGGAATACTACGCTGCTGTAAAAAAAAAAAAAAAAAAAAAAAAGGAACTCTTAGCACTTGCAGCAGCAGGGATGGACCTGGAGAGCATTATGCTAAGCAAAATAAGCCAGTCAGAGAAAGATAAATATCACATGATCACACTCATTTTGTGGAATATAATGAACAACATAAAGTGATGAACAAAAATAGATCCAGAGTCATAGAAGCATCGAACAGACCATGGAACCTCAGAAGGAAGAGGGGCAGGGTAAGAGATCAACCAAACGAAAGGACTTGTATGCATGCACAAGAACATAACCACTGGACAGACAGTAAGGGGGTGAGGGCATGTGCTGGGGGTGGGAGTGGCTGGGGAGAGGTCAATGGGGGGAAAAGGAGCCATATGTAATACTTTCAACAAGAAAGAATTTATTTTTTTTAAAAAAGGAGTTAAAATTATTTAAATGGAACTAGATTTGATTGCGCATTGTACTTTTTCAAAGGTTAAATTAATTCCATAGTTAACAGTATGTAAAGGTAAATACTTATAAGCTTAATTTCAAGAAATACATCCCTTCAGGCTACTTCATAGTAAAATTTCATTTTTAATATACAAAACATTTGCACAATACTAACCAAACAAAAGTAAAATGAACTTGAGTCCATATTCCTAAAAAATAAAGTTAGATACTGTTTGAGATGTTTCAATGCTAGTAAAAGAATACACAAATGCACACATCCCCCAAGCAGCCAATATTTTAATACACAATATTAACTAATATGTAAAAAGTGCTTTCATGATCTGTTATCAACTAAAATAAAAAAATTCATCATATAAAGTTCAAAACTGTGTTCTTTGACTTCTAACCTCTGCTCTTCTTTAGCATTACCTGTGAAGGAGAGAAAAATATGAAGATTCATATTATACCTATAGCAAATAAAACATAATCCTCAACAAAAAAATTAAATATTCCTATGTTTATAATATGGAAGACTCTGAATGTATAAAACCCAATACAGAAGATGATAAGGGAATCTTTTTGCCTTATAAATGGTCTGAGACTTCTACTTCTCTCAAATAATGTAAATCGTGTAGATTCTCAAAATCTGGTTTTATAGTCAGTTCTAGATGTTAACTTCTTCAATTGTAAGCCAAAAGTGTCCATATTAATGGTTCCCAACATTTGTAGACAATTTAGTAATCGTAAGAGTTACAGAATGTTCTAAACTTCTAAAATCTTATTTATAAATTGAGCATTTAACAACTAGAAAACAATACAAACCCATTGCAACACCATATTTCCTACATTTGTTCTGGAATTATATCAATTTAAAGACCAAGACTAGTCATCTAACACTGAAAAGCTTGTTAGATAGACAATTTTCAAAACATAATAGTCCGTGACAGAAATAAAATAACAGGTCTTTAATCTTAAAAGATGAGAAGCATTAGACCAGAATATATCCAAAATATTTTTAAAGAACTTACCTACTTTTAGGTTAAGCATACCTACCATTTGTTAATAAAAACAAACCCTAAATTTAAAATACATACCTTCTTCAAGCTCGTAAACACTGATTCACCTACAGAAAAACTGACTTTAATGGACTAGAATCTTGTTATAATGTTTATAACTTTAAGAAAATTTGAAAACCCTAAAAAAAATTTCCAAGGTCCGAACATTTCTAGGCTTGCACATATGCCACCAAATAGGTCTGTATCCTAAGTTAGTATTTCTCTGTTTGATGTATGGATACTACAAAAGTACTATGTATTTAAATGAATTTACAAAATGCTGAGTATATTATGTATTCACATTTCCAAAATGCTAAGTTAAACAGAGTTCAACAAGTTTCTTTACTGCTATATTTCCCATAACCTTTTATAACTTTACATAACTATCTATACTAATAAAAGGGTAATATGCTAATAAAAGGGAGACCTTCTGAACAAAGCCATGTTGGTGGGGCCAAGGCAGAGGTGGATAGGGATGATCAGGCCAGGAGGGGAGGGGAGTTGGGGGTGATCAGGCCAGCGGGGAGTTGAGGGCAATTGAAAACAAGAAGCAAGCAAGCAGGCCAGCAGGGGAGAAGTTGGGGATGAGCAGGCTGGTGGGGGAAAGGGAGGGAAAAAGAGGAGACAGCTGGGGGCAATCAGGCTGGCAACGGGGGGGGGGGGGGGGGCAGATGAGGGTGAGAAGGCTGGTGGGGGGGGCAGTTGGGGCAAGCAGACAAGCAGGCAAAGTGGTTAGGGGCGATCAGGCATGAAGGCAGGTGAGAGGTTAGGAGCCAGCAATCCCCCAAGAGGTTCCCAGACTAGAGAGGATGCAGGACTCCCCCACCCCCTCCCCAATGCACGAATTTCATGCTCTGGGCCTCTAATATGTAGTTATATAAAGATATTAACATTGTGCAGATGAACAAAAAGTACATGGAACTCTCTATATTATTTATGCACTTTTTGTGAGTCAGTTTATAATTATTTCAAAACAAAAGTGTACAAAGACATACAGTGTCAAAAGTAAGTCTCTTTCCCACATCGCTCCCATTCAACCATGGTTGCCAATTTCTTGCATATTCTTATAGTAACAGATTCTATATACATAATAACATTGTGACTATTCAAGGAGGTATAGTATGTTATCTAAATGTATCTTGACACCAGAAGCTTTTCATGGTGGGGCATCTACTAACATCAAGTGGAAATGACCTCCGGAATATATTTGGAAAAAACTCTGCCCTAGGCCTCCTACTCTCATATTATATAGAACTACCAGGAAGAAGCAATCTCTCTGTTTTTATAAGTAATTTGAGTCATAAGTCACGCAAAATACAGTTAGAAAAACAAATAGGCAATTAGAAAAGCAAAATGATCAAGAAGAAAAGTTTGATAAATTTCAAGGTGATAACCTTCTCAACTATCTATAGCCCACTACAAATCCTACATATTACAGCCAAATATTAATTTTCCCATAAACAGTAATAAATCAGTGGCCATGAATATTTGCATCAGCGATCCAAAGAGAGAAAGAAAATCTGACTCCTTAATTAAATCCATTAACATGAAAAGCTAAGTATCAACTGAGTAGACACAGCTGAATAAAAAAGTCTAAATCAGGCAGAGGTGATGAACCAAGTGGTACTTTTAAAATCAATTTTCATTCAAGAAAAAAAAAAACCTCACGTCTGGCTAACGTGGCTCAGGGGTTGAGTGTGGACTTATGAACCAGAAGGTCAGGACACATGCCCGGGCTGTGGGCTTGATCCCCAGTGTGGGGTGTGCAAGAGACAGCTGATCAATGATCCTCTCTCATCATTGATGTTTCTATCTCTCTCTCCCTCTTCCTTCCTAAAATCAGTAAAAATATATTTTAAAAAAATAAATAAATCAGGCCTTACCTTTGCTGCAGCCAGTACATGCTGGTCTTTAATGATTCCACACTTATTCTTACAAGCATCTGTCCTGGACTCTTCTGCCAGTCGACGAATAAACAGTAAACAGTTCAGATGCACCTTTAAAAGAGAAAATTCAAAAGGATTTTTAAAATATTGATGTTCCAAAATAAGGGCTTTTAAAAATAAAAGATAACAAAATGTAATGTTGTACTAATTTAGTATTATGATTAAATAAATTATTTTTTAAAGTAACAGAATCTATTTTAATATAGGCCCATCTTAGATTCCATACAAATGAGACAGTTATTGAAAAAGACCATGTAAGGCTAACCAAAGGCTATAGACAATAGCATTATTGTAAAGAATCCTTAGATCACAATTTATGTAGAACTTTATTAAGTAACAAATATTCCTGCTTCTGATTCCAAATAACTTATGTATGTAAAATTTTCCCAAAATCTAAAATCAAAACAACATATTTAAGGCTAATCATCTTTCAATCTATAATCCAAGGCTAAAAATTTTTTTAATCAGGTATTTGAAAGACCTATTCAAAAAAAGGTAATAATTGAAATTCTGAAGATTTACTGAGTTGAAGAGTATATATACAAAGGTCATTACTTATTATCTAACAATATCAAAAAAATCATATCTACTATTAGTAATCTTTAAGTCACCTTTTAAGAAATTATTTAAAATAGATTATAAGCAGACAGAACAAAATTCAAAACTCCACAAGGATTGTAGTTAAGTAAGTTGTTAGTATTGTGGAAAGCTGGATAAAAGATACATAAGTAATTTCTACTATTTTGCCACTTCTTGTGAATCTAGATTGAAAAATAAAAATATAAAACAAGAGTCTACAAAAGGGTAGACTGTCAAAAATAAGTCTCTTTTCCATGCAGTCCCATATTTATTAATTGTAAACTTACAATATTCAAGGTGTTACATTAAACATTAGGAATAAAGTATTTCCAAACTCCCCAGGCCAATGGCAGAATCAAACCTATAAAGAAATCAAGTAGATGCCAGAGTAAAATAGAGTTAATCCTTTTAGGGAGATTCAAAAAGGCTTCACTGAGGAAGTGGTATGTGAACTGGGTTTTGAAAGAACTGGAGTGTGCTGAGAGGAGTGAGGTTATCTTCAGGCAGAAGAAATACCATATACACTGTACAAAACACAACAGAAAAGTAGGTTAGTTTTGTGTTAAAGATAATGGGAGACACAAAAAAGAGATATGTATAGTTCCTTCCCCTGAAGAAAGCTGCATTACCACAGTAGGAGACAAAACTGATATATAAAATTCCTAGTGAACAGTGTCAAATTACCAATAGCTAAACCATATGATGTACACCTTCTCTGCTATCAAAATTCAGGGGGGGGGGAAAAGGTCATAGCAAGCTGCCTGAACTGTAGAAAGGTTTATGGATGATGTGGGACATCTGCTGGGTAAGATTATGAAGTGTCAACGGCAAGCAGAAAACCCTAAGCAAAGAAACCAGGGTGATGCATGGCACACACGCAGAGTGGAGGAGAGCAAGCAAAAGCCAAAGAACAGATTCGGACCTAAGAAGAGATAGTGGCCTAAAGAAACTCATTTCCCCTTCCTGTGAGAATGCTCGGAATTTCAGCTCACCTTCTTTCCTGCTGGATCCCACCTGCTGTCCATGAGTCACTTTGGGGCAGACAGTGTGAATGGAAGAGGAAGCTGATTACTGAGAAATTTTTGCCAACCTATCTAACAGTCTCCTAGATAGACTTGAGCAGGTACATTTCTTCCCCACCCACTTGGGACCCCAGGACCAATGAAAACTGCAGGAAAAAAATGACCTAAAAATGGCTTGTAAATCAATTTCACTTTAACCCAAAGCACCTGTGCCACCTTTATCATCACCACTGGGGGGGAGAGGGGGGTGATGGTTACAAAATAGAATAGATATTGTCTTTTCTTATGGGATCTAAGACAGGAACAAGAAAAAGGAGGATAGGAGGTGTTAAATGGGCTATTTTTTTCCAGCCAGAAACAAAAATGTTTGTTTTGGCCCTGACGGGTTTGGCTCAGTCGGTAGAACATCCCAGGTTCGATTCCGGTCAAGGGCATGTGCCTTGGTTGCAGGCACTTCCCCAGTAGGAGGTGTGCAAGAGGCAGCTGATTGATGTTTCTCTCTCATCGATGTTTATAACTCTCTATCCCTCTCCCTTCCTCTCTGTAAAAAAAAAAAAAAAAAAAAAATCAATAAAATATTTTTAAATGTTTATTTTGGCTTCAGAGACCAAATAAAGGAAAAATGAAGACAATTCTATAATGTCCTTGTTAGCTACGATTCTTGACCTTGATCTCCTGAAAATTAGGTACCCACTTATAATGTCTCCTTCACTCAACCGGCTCTTGTAACAAACCTTAGGCGTCTCCCACGGTTTAAACCTAGAGGAAGACAGTGTTCATGCTGCCAGAGGGGTGTATGGTCCAGGCACTGTACATGAAAACTCCGAATTTATTTCACAGCGGCTTGGTGGTGGCTATTGGCTAGCTTAAGCATGATGCTACAGGCATTATGAGTCAGAGAGAGGTTTGGCTTGGAAATTGAATTAACAGACGTTCATGTCTGTCCAGGAAAACGAATTCGCAGCTGAGAGCAAACTACTTACAAATTACCTTTCTGAATCGGGGTTCGATAGTAAGCAAGCTAAAGCGGAGAAAACAAGGCAATATATTCGGTTAACGAGGTAAAAAGGCATGTCAGTAATGCCTTTTACAATAGTTAAAATTAAAAAATGGCCGAAACCGGTTTGGGTCAGTGGATAGAGCTTCAACCTGTGGACTGAAAGGCCCCAGGTTCGATTCCGGTCAAGGGCATGTACCTTGGTTGCGGGCACATCCCCAGTGGGGGGAGGGGGGGGTGCAGGAGGGTGCTGGTCCAAGTTTCTCTCTCATCGATGTTTCTAGCTCTCTATCTCTCTCCCTTCCTCTCTGTAAAAAAAAAAAAAAAAAAAAAAAAAAAAAAAAATTCAATAAAATATATTTTTAAAAATGACCCGGCCCGAATTCCAAAATCTATTCATAAACGGCCGTTATCTTTCTTCCTTTGGCAAGTACACTCCACTCAGTTCCATATTGTGCTCCTGAACAGCGATATGGAAAAAGCGATAAGCAGGAACCTAACGCCAACGTAAGTTTTCTCCTTACGTTGATTTGGCTAATAGCCTTCTAGAGTATGTATGTATGTATGTATGTATGTATGTATGTATGTATAAATAAATAAATAAATAAATAAATAAATAAATAAATAAATGATGGCACCGATCGCTCCATGTCAGTGGCCTCCAAGCGCCAGGATCCGAGCAAACCCCTGTGTTCTGGGCGGGACGCGCCCTAAACACGGGCCCGGAAGAACGAGATGGTCCGAGGACCCAAAATAAAAGATGGGGGTGGGGGGTGACTTCCCCGACCTGCCCCGGCCCCACCGCAAGCCCCCACAGGCAGAGGACTCACCAGCAAGTCGCACCTGGTCCCCAGATGAAGGTGAGGCTTCCGCCGCTTGAAGACGCGCCGCAGAAAGCCGCGGGGAGCCTTGCGCTTGACCCGCTTCCTCTGAGAGAGCGTGGCCGCCACCGCCATGCCTCCCCGTCAGGCACCGCCGCCGCGGCCCTCGGGGTCCCCCCGGCGCCGCGCAGGAGCAGCCGGCCGCCGCGGGCAGAGCGGACACAGGCCCGCCGATGTAGAGTTCCCTCCGACCGCGATCCCGGCCCCGGCGTTTGAATCCGCCGCCGAAAAAGCGCGCCCGGCGCCCGGCAGTGACGTCACCGCGCTAGCCCCGCCCCCGGGGCCGCCTGAAGTTGTTTGATCGCTGTCCTTAAAGGGCCCACGCCTCCTGGAACGGCCCGATGTCCTACCTACACCAATGCTGAGGCATCATCTCTCCCAGGTTTCATAGAGATGTCGGAAAACTGTGGAACGTATGGGTGTGCCAGGGCAGCCACGCCTGCTCTCCAAGCTCCCACTCTATACTGAGCCCAAAGTGATGACTTAAAAAGTAGGTGAGTTGAAAGAAGCTTGTGATGTTGTATCAGGATTCCTGAAGAACCGGTGTCTTCCTGGCAAGGCATGGTTTTCGGATAGTAACAGCTAACCCTTTACACTTTTACAGAATTCCCGTTTGATTCTTCCCTGAAGTCTTTTCGTGAGTCTGTTCTTTATAAATGAGACTCCCTTTCATTTTAAGGCCCTGTGCTGCTGAACCTTGAAATGACTTCAGGCGTAGTTTAAATATACTACCTACCTCTTTGAAAACTTTGCTACTTCAAGCCATTAACTTTTCTCTTATCTAAGCTATTGCATAGATAGTTCTCAAACTTCATGGCCCATCAAGGGAAGCAACCACCCCTGGGGATTCTCCTTCAAGAAGTCTTAAGGGGACTTTGAGAATTTGCATTTCTAACCAGTACTCAGACCATGTTGGCATTGCTTAGTCTCAGGATTGGTCTGAGATCATTGCGATTTTCATTGCATCGCTAATCCTATGCCTCTAGTAATTATTCTGATTTCAATAACCACACAGACAAGCTTTTCCAACACCTCCTCAGTGATCCTTCCAACACCTCCTCAGTGATCTTATCTTTCATCCCACTGAGAAGGCTAACCCCTATTTTGTAAAACTACTGTTTGGAATTCTCTGTTATTCTAAAATAACAACAACAACAACTTTGCTTTCTAGCCTGCTTTAGCCTGCTTGAATAATGAGGAAGATAAATATAGCTGTCTGACCTTATAGGCCAGAGACTAGATACCCACATACTCCCAATGCCATGGCAGGTATATTTTTTAATTGGATAGAACTGTGTTGTGTTCAAGGCCATCAGTGAGATAACCATTAAGCACACATAGGGTTGGCTCTTTAATAAAAAGGGAAGTTTTGTTTGTAGCTCTGCTTAGAATTTGAATTCATTTTCCTCTGAACTCACTAGTGAATGAAATGTGACTCCAAACTCTCTGAGCAATTCCAGTTTTCTGTAACTCCATGAGCCACTTACACCTGCAGTCATACACTAAGCCTTGCCATTCCCAAACACCATGCCCTTCCATATTCTCAATCCAATCATCTCACTCTTCAGCCTCATCTCCAATCTTCTGAACTCTCTCCATTATCCAAATTGCAATAATTTGTGTATTCTGCCGAGACTGGTTTGGCTCAGTGGATAGAGCGTCGGCCTGCAGATTGAAAGGTCCCAGGTTCGATTCCGGCCAAGGGCATGTACCTTGGTTGCGGGCACATCCCCAGTATGGGGTATGCAAGAGGCAGCTGATCGATGATTCTCTCTCATCGATGTTTCTAACTCTCTATCCCTCTCCCTTCCTCTCTGTGAAAAATCAATAAAATATATATATTTTTTAAAATAATAATTTGTGGATTCCATTGGGATCACTGTCCTCTCTCTTTCGATCTCTACCACATCCTAACCTTTCTCTACTCCTTACCCTACCCTACCCCACCCCCACAGTCTATTGTGCACCATTCTAATATTCCCTTGCATTTATTCTCAGCTCTCTAGCTATTCTCTTTTTTCTCATACTCACCTTACAAATCCCAGCCCTGCTTAAACTGAAATATCAATCCTCCCTATGCTGTGTCTGTGCACTGATAGTGCCTTAAGAGAAACGGATAGGTCTGGATCTGGCCTCAATTTAAATTCATGACCACTTAAGTGGACTCTAAATGCTGTCCATAATAAAGCATGTCCTACACATTACCTTATTTTTTAAAAGACTTTCACCTTTATGTACAATATTAAGGAGTTCCAGAGTAAAACATTGGAAAATTTTTGTCACAACCTAAACTTTCAAAATGTTATCCTTTAAAAAAAATTGTCTTTAGTAATTTAAATTCCTTTGATTCAAAGGGTTAAAAATGACAAGGCCACTATTGAAACCCTAACTCCCAAAGCAAGAAACTTCCCAAATCCGAAATGCCTTAAGTGTGGACAGCCCTTAGCTCCAAATCCAGGGCAAGTAAAGGAGTCTAAAAAAGATCTGGACAGGAGTAGTATTGACACCAGAAGGATAAATACTTCCTTTTCTTTATCTCACATGTTCCTCCTGATGTAATTTTAGTCCTGATTTGCAGAGGTCAAAGTCCCTTTGATACTGCTGTTTATTTTGGAAAGACAAAAAAAATTTGTTCAAGGAAAATTATTGAAGAATTCTCGCCATCACCACTCCATCTCATGCTATTCTTAAAAGTTAGTGTACATAAGAAATAATTATCATTATATTAAGCTATTGAGAATTTTTGTCTTTTTTGTTGATGACATCTCAATATCTGATAAGGTAGTCTTTTAAATAGTGGCTCCTTTTTTTCCTAATCCATCCTAAAGAAATTTATTCTAAGTATAAAATACATTTTATGAATAGAGACTTTTAAATATTTTTTAAAATATCTAATGTATAAATTTGGGTATATGCATTCAGTTGTTATGACAATATTAAAAATAACATGAAAAATAGCAATAGCCTAGAAGAAGTCCCATGGTAATGACAAGTGCAAAAAAAAAAAATACCTATATACCAAAGTAAATGTAATATGATCTGCAGAATATTAGAAAATATGCTTGCATACACACACACACACACACACACACAACACTGGGAAAAATATACCAAAATCTGAACATGGTTTTTAGATATGGGATTGAAATTTTTGATTGTTTTAAATGTTGTTCAATTTTCTGTAAAAAGCATACTTGAAAAAGAAATGAGATATTTCATATTTTAGCTAATTAATACTGAATATAACTTAAAATGTTTACTGAATAAATGTCACTAAAATATTTCTCTAAGAAAATTATTTACACTAGAAAAAATTAAAATTGACAGTATCCTTTGATGTTTGAAACAATCTTAAGAAAACATTTGATTTTGCTTTTCATAAATTATACTAATGTATACATATGGTATATGTTACTAGTTAATGTATTTCTGTGAATAAACATTTTAAAATCATTATACATGAAATGAATCATTTATAAGATTGTTACTGACTTGTGTCTTTGTGCTCATTAGCAAAACATGAGAACAAATGTTAACAATAATTAACAGTAGGTAGAATCTCATAGTTTGCAAAATAAGTTTTTGACATATTGCTTTGTTAGACACTTAAAAATTATGTTGATTATAATAATGGTTAAATTAAAAATTTTAATCTGCCAGATGCAATACAGTTGCCAAAAAATTTTGTAATTTCAAAATACTTCTGTCATGAAGCCGTTCATCATTTGTGAGATACAGAATCTCACAAACTTTTGGAAACTGCACTATTTTCGTTGATTTTGTGTGTGTATGTTTCATCTGTCCCATGGGTTGTAAGACTAATTTTTCAGAAGCTTTGAAAAATTTCACCTTACTTGTGTAGTCTCTTAATTCATATTTCAAAGGTTTAGCTCAGCTAAGTGCATCTCTTTTTAAACCTCTCCCCTTCACTGACTATCCTATTTTTAGATTTAATATGAAGTGGTTACAGGAACACAAATCTATTTTCCAATGTTGATGAAAGATACTGAATTTAAAACAAATTTTTGTTATGAATGCCAGAAACCTTAGGCATTTTGATGTGTTTTCCAAGATAAAAAGATGGCTTTGAAATAGGAAATAGGAATCCAGAAGAAATAGATATTGTGAGGAAATATTAAATGAAAATAAAAATTATAATTTGGGGTAAAAGCCTCATTGCTAACAATAATTCTTTCTGTAACATTTCATTATCAGTTTGTACACTATAAAGAATAATTGCTGCTAGAACATTATTTGGAACAGATTAGGACAAAAAAAGAGAAATGATGCAATTTACTTTTTTCTTTCATCTTCAGAATCATGTTATTTATTTTCATGTCTCCTTTTATGTCTTTCAATAAACTTTATTTTCCCTCTTTTAAACGTTATTGTTATTGTTGAAATTATTACAGATGCCCCATTTCCCCCTCCCTTTGCACCTCTACCCAGTTCCCAACCCCACTTACCTTGGCCTATCACCAAACCATTGTCTGTGTATATGGGTAAATTTTTACCCATTTGGTAATGGGCCCATATCAAATCATCAGGGATTTTTATTTTTAATTTAGTGACTCCAGGGAGTTTCCAAACGACACCATTTTCCATGGATACCTTGTTTAAACGTCTATAAGAAAACTGAATGCTATCAATGGACTGTCAGGGAAAGAAGAAAAACTTACTTCTTGCCAAGTAAAACTTTTTATCTTCTATCCGAGAGCAATGACAATATTTGTACACGGGGAAATTTTTAAGCAAATGGGGAATATTCCAATATAATTTATTATTTAGTAACTATTAATGGAAAGGAAGAAGGAAGGGAGAGGTAGGATATAGGGAAGGAAACACTGAACCTCTTTCTCCCCTCCACGTTTCCCAATCTAGATCAGGCACAAAGCCTGGGAGAGAGACACTTTGTATTGGGTAAGAGTGTTAGGTTTTAATTCTTTCTCCAGACTGAATTATAATCATGGAATAATTATGAGAGTAGACTAAACTTTTTTTTTTTTTTTTGCCAGATTATGCTTTGTTCTTTTTTTTTTTTTTTTTAATATATATTGATTTTTTTAGAGAGGAAGGGAGAGGGATAGAGAGCAAGAAACATCAATGAGAGAGAAACATTAATCAGCTGCCTCCTGCACACCTCCTACTGGGGATGTGCCCACAACCAAGGTATGTGCCCTTGACCACAATCGAACCTGGGACCCTTCAGTTAGCAGGTTGACACTCTATCCACTGAGCCAAC